ATGTCCTCCGGGAGGGGTGCCTTTCTCTAAGTCCCACAGAGATGCCCTGTGGGCTGGCCACCGCCTGGGCCACCAACCTTGTGGTTGGCGCCTGTGAGCACGAGCTGGGAGGCAGCCAGGGTTAGACAGCCACAGTGTCCACCTGGGACGATGCGCCAAGGCCGGCTCCGTGGCCAGCTGCCTTGTGGCCCTGGGACAGCACTTTGTCTCTCTAGGCCTCAGTGTACCCCTCTGTAAGATGGCACTGAGACCTGGCAAGCACACAGCTGGTGCCAGCCCTGGCAGAGAGGAAGTCTCTGCCACCCACGCTGCCCGAATAGTGGCACCTCCTGAAGGGCACTTTGCCGGTGGGGCGCTGTGGGGTGGGACACCAGCGTCGGGGGGCTGCGGCGGAGTGGGCTGCTGTGCGCTGGAGCACCCCGCCAGCTCCCTCTCCCCGCTGAGCCCCTGGGTCCTCATGGCCTGGGGAGCTGGCGGGGCGCTAGGGCGGGGCCGGCTGACCATGGGGGCCCCACCCACCTGGGCTGCCATTGGCGACGTGGAACCTGGTCCCGGGATGAATGCGTCCAGGAAATGATCCCAGCCTGGCACCGTGGTCCGTGCTGTGGGGGGACTGGCGGGGCGGGCGGCTGGAGGGAACAACTGGGACAGGGTAAGCTGTGGGCACAATGCCAGGGCCATGGGGGATTGGGGGTACGTGGACAAGGCCCCCTTTCCAGGGTGCAATGACAGTTCCTCCAGGCTTCCACCCACAGCCCTGGGGCTCTGGAGCCAACGCTGAGCAGAGAGCTGCCCCCACAACAGTCCCCTGAAAACTGTCTGAGCCCCCACTTCCTCATGTCCTGACTCTAGACTTCCCAGGCCCCAAGAGACTTCCCGGGGCATCCCTTTGCAAACTGTGAAGTCCTGTGGCCCCCTGGTTACGTCTTTTCCCTCCCTGAGCTTGAATGTCCTGGGCAAGGGGTCCGGCCTGTGGGCCCCGGGGCCTGGCTGGGCGTCCGAGAAGGTGCCCTGAGCCGCGGCTCTGCAGGGCTTGGCACGAGCAGATGTTTCCCCAGGGCCGCTGTGTTGCAATCCTTCTTGGCCACAGAGCCCTGTTTCTCTGGCAATTGTAGGCTTTCTCGGCTGTGATTTGGACAATGGTTTTTCCCTTCTAAACAACCTCTCTGGAAAAAGGGACTCCAGCCTCCCATGAGCTGGCTGCCATTGTTTCGCTTCTTTCCACAAAGAGCATCTTCTGCCCCGGCTGCCTCATGCAAGCGTCTCCAGGCCCAAGGGCAGCGGGGGGCCACCCCGAGGAGGGGTCTCGGCAGGGGCTGGGCACTCCTCAGGGCCCTAGCCTGCGACTGCTAACCTCTTGGGCCTGGAGTCTCCCGACAGCCTTTGGGGCCACACGGTCTGGTCACTTTGGAGTCCTTCCCCGCCCTGAGCGCCGATGTCGTGCTCATCTCCAGCCTCATCCTTGCCTCCCCGTGGCCCCGCCCGGAGGCCACAGAGGACAGACTGTTGGCAAGTGGCAGGATTGGGCTTCAAAGCCAAGGCTGTGCCCCCAGACCTACCCTGCTGTCACGGGGCACTCAGTTTCCACACTGCCTCTGAGCCGCCACCACCCGGACGGCGCCCACCGCGGGCCTCTGAAGTCTGCTCGGTGGTGACCCTCCCTTCCGTCCCAGGTAGCAGCTGACTCTGGCTCAGAGACGTCAATAACCGTGCACAAAGCCACACAGCTGCAGGGACGGGGCAGGGACGGGGCGCCAAACCTGCGTGAGCCCTGGTGTGAGCAAGGCTGAACAGGGGCGTTGGCACCAGCCTCTGTCCCAGGTGGGGGCTCAGGAACGGCCTTCCTCTCCACAAGGGGCCCGGCCGCCACCCACCCTGCTCCAGCATGGCGGGCAGTGGAGGACTGGAGGCGCCCTCGGGCTTCCCCTCTGGCTTCAGTGATGGGGAAGCCAAGGTCAAGGTGAGGCAGGTGTCAGAGGTGGAGACAGGGGTGGGGCAGTGTCTCCTGGGCTGGCCCGGCTCCGCCCTCGCAGGATCTCAGCACCGTCCTTGTGGTCCTTGTGACGTCAGGGCAAGGCGGGGGCGGCTGTCGGCACCTTCCTCACGGGATCTTGCGCTCTGCCAAGGCCAACTGAAGACTGGAAATGGCAATAGAAAAGTTGGTCCCTGTCCTTCTATGGGGGACCCTGCACTGCTGGGACCCTGAGTCCCCACCGCTGGCTTCTGTGACTTTGCTGTCACCCTTGTAGCCAATAGAGGGGAGGGGAGAGTTGTGGCGACATTGGATGGTGTGGTCCTTGCCCTGTTGCTTTAGCACTTTGCACGCAGGGTTCTGGCCCCGCCACCTGTAGGGTGAAGGCAGCTCCCTCAGGGGTCCCCTCTCCCCAGCCAGGCCCTGCCATGCCCTGTCCTTCCTCCCGTCTGTCCGTGTGGCCCGGCGCCCGCCCCGTGCATGGTGGATGCTTTTTGAATAAAGGAACAGACCCTGTAGGGTAGGCTGTCCCTATACAGAAAACTTACTGACATTTTACTTTTTTGTCGACAATGATATGAACGTGTTGATTTAAAAAGCCCTATCAGTTGGAATGTAAAAAAAAATTTACACCCGTCACTTTGCCATGTGCAGATGCAGCATGAGAAGATGCCGCAGGAGGCTGTTTCCAGCGGTTTGAAGAGCTGTCCGTGTGCCATGATTTCAGAGGCGAGGAGCTGAGCTTGTGACTTCTGGAGTCCCTCCCGGCCAGCCACAGGCTGCTGGCCGTCCCTGCCGTGCGCTCAGACTCCCGGGGGCGGACAGCGCCGGGCTGAAGTCAGAGCCGGGATCACGTCGGGGAGGCCCAGGTGGATGCAGCCCTCACCGGCCAGGCGAGCCCTGTGGCACCCAAATCCCCTTGCTGGGCAGCCTCTTGGGCCAGCTCCCCTGGGTCACCCAGCCTCACTTCCTGTGGGCAGGCCGTGCCCTGCAGGCCTCAACCTCCCCCCAGGACCTACGTGGTGCAAGACTCAGCCCTGAGTCAGTCCCAGGGGTCCCCGATGTGCCCAGAGGCCTCGAACCCGTCCCTGGGCTCGTCCCTCCCTCCAGCCACAAAACTCCTACTGGGAGTTTGGGGGTGATGCCAGGGGAGGCTGGCTTAGCAGTCCCTCCTTCTGTTCTAACCCTCGGAGTAAACAGGAACATTAAATCACTACTTGGGGATCAGGAAACTGGAAATAATCAAAACACAGTGTCCTGTCCTCAGCCTGGGCACCGGGCCGCCTGTCGCAGGCCCAGCCTCCCGCCCGGGGCTTTCCCGGCCTCGCCTCCACTGCAGCCGCTGCCCCGCTGTGGGCCCGGGTGTCCGCCGTGGCCACGCCCGTGGTACAAGTAACGAGACTGGCAGCCGCCCGCACCCACTCTCGGCACCACCTGGCTGGGGATGTCACCACCAGGCTGGGCACTCGGTCACTGACCTCTCCGGCCCTTGGCCCCACGGGGAGGGCCCAGTCCTGTTGCGCTGTGCTGGGGACCCCCTCCCACCTGCCCCCCGTCACCCAGAGGCCAGTTAGATTGGCCCGGGGCACAGCAGGGCAGCCCTTCCCCGCCGACCTCCTCCCAGCGTGCACTGCAAAAGCTTGCAGCTCTCCCGGTAGCCCCTTGATGGCCACGTCCTGAAGGGGAAACTGAGGCTTGATGAGGGGAAGTAGGTGCAAGTCTCAGTGGCCTGGCACCAGGCTCCTTCCTGCAGCCCAGGGGCGTTTTCAAAGGCTGGTTCCGCTTCCTGAGGCCAGCAGGTGAGAAGGGGGAGGAGAAAGCCCCCTGGGCTGGGAGGCAGAGGCCCAGCCCTGCGCCTGCCTGAGTGTGGCCAACTGTGCCACGTTGGACCCTTCTCTGCCCCCTCTGGGCCTCCATCGCCCCATCTGCAGGTGGCCTCTAAGCCTCTGCCCATCTCTTGGCGTCTCAGAGAGCCTGGGGAGGGTGAAGACCGGGAAGTGCCTGATGTCCACGCTGCCATGTGGCTGCGAGGCACATTCACTGAGCACGCTGTCCCCAGCCCCGTGTGGTTACAGATGTCCCCGGGGGCCCTGCTGCCTCACCACCCAGAAGCTGGGTCTCCTTGGCCCTGTCTTGCCCTTTGGGCCTGAGGTGGGGCTGCCTGGCGGGGAAAAGCCGGGAGAGGGGAGCCCCACATGGGGTGTCCTGCCCCGTCCCTGACTCAGGGGCTCAGGCCTGTCTCCCACCCCCAGGACTCAGCTGCACAGAGTGGAGGGACCTGGGCAGGAAGCAGCCCTTTCTGCTTAGAGTCTCACATGGAAACACTCAGCCCCGCCCTGAAGACTGAACAGGAGAGAAGGGAGGGAGAGTGGCTGGGGGTGGGGTAGGGAGGGGGATTGAAGTCTGGGGCGGCGCCTCCCTCTGTTAGCCCGCCCCCAGACCTGGGAACGAGCTGGGCTTTGTCCTTCATTGCCCGGGCCTTCTGCGTTTGTGCCTGTCTCACAGCCAGCCTGACACAGGTGTGATTATACCCATTTTCCTGATGGGGAGACTGAGGCCCACTGAGGGGAAGTGGCTTGAACTCAGTCCTGGTGGCTCCAAAGACCTTGCTCTTTCCTTGTGAGAGCTGTCACCCTCCCAGCCTGCAGTGACGGGCTGGGCTGTCCATCTGTCCTTTCCTCCTTGTCTTCCTCTTCCTCAGCGCCTCCAGTCCGGGCCCGACCACAGCAGCCACAGGGGTTTAAGACCGACCCAGAGCTCCAGGCAAGTGAGAACGGGGTTCCACTTGGGGAAGGGAGAGGTTCTTAGTCCCAGATTAGGGGTGAGGCTGGGCTGGGCTTGGGCTGTGCCAAGGCAGGTGGAGTCAGGGGAAAGGGAGCTTCCTGGTGGGGTGGGCAGAGACAGCAGCTTAGATGGCAGCGTGGGGCCTGGAACGGCAGGTGGGGCCTGCTGAGAGGAGGGGGTGTGCCAGGCTGGGAGCCCACTGTCCCGTGTCTGCCACGCTCCTTCAGCCTCACCATGTGCTTCAGGCCAGCTGACCCCCCGCTGGAGTCTGCATCACTTTGCCCGAGGCAGTGATGCATCACTTTGCCCGAGGCACCCTGCCCCACCCCCCTGCCACAGGAGCAGCTCTGCAGCAGAGACCACTGAGAGCAGAGCGTAAGTACCGGCCCCCTGCCCCACCCCTCGGCCCTCCGGCCCGCTCTACCCAGGAGCCAGCCCTGCTCCCCACCGAGCTGCGGGGCTCCGAGCTCTCTGTGGCCCCTTCCTGCCCTGCTGACTGTCCCATGCCCCTCCTGGTGTGTCCTGGGACCCCCTCCCAACAATTCCACGCGCACTCCACTCCCCATCTGGGGTCGGCTTCGGGGGATCCAGGGTAAGTCTGGGGTTCCTGGCAAATGGGGGGAGGTGAGCTGGAGAAATGAGCAGGTTTGGTCAGGAGGACTCGGGGCTGCGTTTTCCCTTGGAGGCGTCAGGGGCCACGGACAGGGCTGGGTTCTAAAAATATCACTCCCTTGTTCTGTGGAAGGGTGCGGGCAGGAGAGACAAGGAAGACCCAGTGTGCGCGGGAGGAGAGGGCGGAGGGGGAGGAGGACGGCGTGGCTGGGGAGGGGGGGAGGCAGCGTGTGGGGCCGGCTGGCTCTTGGGGTGGGGCAGAGGGAGGGGAGGGGAGGCGGACGAGGTGGAAGGCAGTGCCGTTCGCCACGACAGAGGCTGCTTTCCTGGGCTCCCTTGCAGCTAGGAGCGGCCACCTGTGCCAGTTCTGGCCAGTGAGATGCACAGAGACGGTTACTGGGGGCTCCTGGGGAAGCTCTGTCCCCCCTGAAAGGAGGCGCTATGCGAGGAGGAAGGCCCTCCCCGCTCCTCTTCCTGCTTCTGCACACTGTTTGCGGGTTTGATGTCTGGACCCGGGGCGGCCACATTGCAGCAATGAGGTCAAGGCCGGGAGACGTCATCGGGAGCTGGCCCAGGGCTGTGCGAACAGTGCCAGCAGCCGCTGGCCGCAGACTCCTCCTCGGGTGCCAGAGAGACGCTCCACCTTTTGTTTCAGCCTCTCCCTGCTCACTGGGCCTTCTGTTATTTGCAGCCGGAGGCATTCCTAAAGACTGCAGGATTTGGTACCAAGAGTGGGGCTGGAAGCAATTCCCAGTACCCAGCCAGCAGAGTCTGGAAGCGGATCCAGGGTCAGCGTCGGAATGTTCGCTGACAGGCCCCGGAGGGCCGTCCCGCTGAACGTGCCCACAGGCAGCTGGGCGTGCCGCGTGGGAGCCCAGGACGGTGGCCGCTGGGGACAGCTGTGGATGGTGGCTGAGGTCACCGGAGAGGTGAGGTTGCGCAGGGAGAGGGCGGAGGGCGAAGGCCACCTGCCGAGGCGGGGCTCCTGGGAAGGCGGGATTCATGCGGCGGGTGGGGGAGGGGCGCCACCCACAGCCATGAAGCAGGAGCAGTGATAATGGTCACGCTAGACACACGCACCGGGCACCCACCAAGTGTGAGTCACTGGGGTTTAGACCCAGTGTCTCCTTTATCCAGACTTCACGACAGCGTGTGAGCTAGTGAGTGCCACTGTGCCCACCTCACAGATGGCAACACCGAGGCCCTGGGAAGTGCCCGCTGCTCCGGGCGTAAAGAGGTCTCCAAGAGGGGCAGCAGAAAGGCGCCGAGTCGGAGCGGGCTCCGGGCCCGGGCAGGAGCGGGCAGACCCATAGGTGAGGGCAGGGCCAGGGGCCGCAAGGGATGGCGTCTGGCTGGACATCAGCAAGCACGAGGGGCCGTGGGAAACCGGGGGTGGGGGGAGAGGGGTTTGGGGGCCTCGAGCGCCAGTCTACGGCGTTGGGGTTTATTGGAGGAGCGCGCAGGAGGGCGGCGTGGCCCAGAACAAGCCCTGCAGAGCAGGGGCACTGCGGCCGGCCGGCCGCGCCCCCCACCCCTCCAGCTGTCCGGGGCGGGGCGAGACCACAGTTGGAGCGCTTGGCCAGTGGCCACTGCAAACAACTTGTCCTCTTGCTGGTTGAGTAGCTGTAGTTAGGCCCTTCGGTCTGGGCCATTTCAGGACAGCAGGGCCGCCAGCGGCCCAGGTGGGGGGCCCGAGACCCCCAGGCTCACCAGCCCAGGCCAGGGGCTGGAACCTGGGCCGGCAGGGGCGGGTCCTGGCAATGTGGAGTCGGGTGGGGGTGGGCATCCCTGGGTTTTCCACCTGCTGGGGGCGATGGGTGTGGGGCTGAGGGACTCACGGGGCAGCCACAGGCTAAGGGAGGAGCAGAGCAGGAGCCCACAGTTGGGGCTGGCCATCCTGCGGCTTCCATTGGTGACGGTGATGGCTGGTGGGACTGAAGGGCCTCCTCCGGGGGCGCTGGTGGCTGGTCCCAGGACAGGGCCATGGGGACGGGCGCCTGGGCCAGGGGGGAGGAGGGGGAAGTGCAGCCCCACCCCTCGGGAGTGCGCAGGGCAGGTCCTCCCGCCCACCTGGGACACAGGCGGACGCTCCCCCCGCCCGTGGGGGCTGTTGTGAGAACGAAATGACACAACTCACACGAAGTCCCACGCCCGTGGGTTTCACAAACAATTAAAATTTCAAAAATCAACTTTGGTTCCCGTGGTAGGGTGCCAACTTTATGTTTTGCCAAGTGAGAACACAGAAAACAAAAACAAAACACTGGCTACCATCTACTGCTACGGCCGCGTCAGTAAAGAAGCGATATTTGGACACACTGAGGGTTGGCGCCCGTCTCGTCTGGGGACCGAGGGTGGCGCTCTGGGCCCGCCCAGCCACCCAGGCCTCACCTTGCTTTGTCTGGGCTTCTTCCCTCACCTCTGGGACCGGGTTTTGGCCACCCGGCCGGCCTTGCATGGCGGTCGTGGCTCCAGCTCACAGCTGACCAGGGCAGGTGGCGGCGGGAGGCCCCGCATCTCCGGTGAGGTCCCCAGAGAGGGGCTTCCTGCGGGGCGGCCCTGGCCTGCTGCATGGGGGCGTCTCCCCCGCTCCTGCCCTGGGTGGTGTCGAAGGCCCCGTCACCCCAGGCTCCGGGCCTGAATCAGAGCTCCCGGGGTGGGGGTGGGGCGGACACCCAGCCGCTGCTTCCACACCTCCCGGGACGGGGAACTCATCGCCTTTCGGAAAGGTGGTTTCTTTTGTTTTTTTTTTTTTTTTGAGACAGAGTCTCGCTTTGTTGTCCAGGCTAGAGTGAGTGCCGTGGCGTCAGCCTAGCTCACAGCAACCTCAAACTCCTGGGCTCAAGCAATCCTCCTGCCTCAGCCTCCCGAGTAGCTGGGACTACAGGCATGTGCCACCATGCCCGGCTAATTTTTTATATATATATCAGTTGGCCAATTAATTTCTTTCTATTTATAGTAGAGACGGGGTCTCGCTCTTGCTCAGGCTGGTTTTGAACTCCTGACCTTGAGCAATCCACCCGCCTCGGCCTCCCAAGAGCTAGGATTACAGGCGTGAGCCACAGCGCCCGGCCGGAAAGGTGGTTTCTGAGTGAAAGTGTCCCTCCCTCGTGTGATGGGTCCAAACGTGCCCCCCGATTCCCCTCAGCGATGGGGGTGCTGTTTGGAGGAGGATCCCGGCCACATGGGAAGAGGCGCTGAATGGCAAGCCCCGACCAGCAGGTGCTTGAGTGCACCGGGCCCTGCGACTCTCTCGGGGTGACAGACGGAGGCTGAGAGGCGGAGTCCCTGCTTGGGACCACGCAGGCCGCGCTCGGCAGAGCTGGGATCCCAGCGCCGGGTGGGGTTGGCGGGGCGCATGGTGGGAGCTCAGGGTCCGCAGCGTCCTTGTCGGCAGGACCAAGCCTCGGATGGCCACGGGGCATTCCTGGCTGCGACGCAAGGTCACGGACTCTAGGCTGTCCTGGCTGGACCCCGGTGTCCCGGCCGGGCCTGGGGGATGATGGGTCAGGCAGGCCCAGTGGTCCAGGCATCTGCATCGCTGGCATCACACGCACACAGTAGTGACCCAAACCCAGCCTCCCTGGACGCCGGGGCTGTCAGAGTGTGGGGGAAGTCCCCACCCCCACCTGGGTCCCCCCAGCCACACCGAGCTGCAAGGGAGGGAATGCATCATTGCCCCCCAGGCCCCCCGTTCTCCAGCTCTGTGACCCTGGGCAGGCCACAGCAACCCCCCAGGCCGGGCCTCCTTACCTGTAGCACCTTCACCAAACACCCGCCCGGCAGGCGGCAGGTGCTCGGGTGGGTGACTGAATGGACGCGGGGTGGCTGGGCCCTCTGCCTAGCCGGCCTGCTACCAACTCCAGCTGCCGCCCTGGCCAGGACGCCTCCGCGATGTTCCCGTTCCCAACCACAGCCAGGGTAGCAGGAAGCCGGGGTCCCCGGGGAGCGGCCTCTTCGGAGGCTCTCATTAGTGGCGGGAATGTTGATGCAGCACGCCCTGCGGAAACTGGCCCGCTCCCCGCCACTCCGGCGGTGTCCTTTGCGGCAGACAGCACCCAGTGCTGGGGGGCGGGCGGGGGGACGAGAGCCTCCTGCGAGGCCAGCGCCGACTTGTAGGACGGGTCTGTGCCGGGCTGGGTGGCTCTTCTGGGCCAGGGAGGTGAGCAGGTTTCTGGCGAAGGGGGATGGGGGTGCCAGTCTCGGCTCCCGGGGGGCCTGGCCAAGGCCCTCAACCCCGAAGACCACCCTTCCCCGAACTGCATTTCAGAGCAGGTTGCTGTGGCCGCCACCCACACCTGTGTCTGCAGGTGTGCACCGAGGGACACGCGCTGGCGGGAGTCCCAGGGCTCTCGTCCTGCTTGCGTTTCATCTCAGGCGAACCGCTTCTGTTTTAGGGCAGAATGCCTCGGGGTCCGTCCCACCGACCTTCTGTCTGGGCGGGTCTGGCAGAACGGTGCTCACGATGGACAATTCTGGCTATGGGGGCACTTGACGCCCCCCGATCAGTCACTCCACTTGTAGTGGGGTCTGGTGGCGCACCAGGAGTGTTTAATAAAAGATACAGTTGTCCCCTGCAGTTGTCACGGGCCTGCTCTCGAAGCCCAGGCTTCCGCTTCGTGATTCTCCCATTGATTTGCCGTCAGATCTACTCAGCATCTTCTCCTGCCACTGCTCTTTCCCTCCCCTATCACTGGGAAAGTGCTTCCAAAGTGATAAACTGACAGATCACACCACCCAGCGCGCAGGCAGCTGGCACCGTAGCCCACGCCTGCTGCAGAGCCCTTTGCTGCTCTTGGCCCCACTCGCAATGAGCCCCACTCACTCATCCTTTCGGGTCAGCCGGAGTGCGGCCCGGAGCGGCACTCCCAGGCGCGGAATACGCTGCCTCCGCAAGTCAAGGAGGCCGCCAGGCTGCGCGGTGGAGGGAGGGTGCAGGATGCCAGCGTGTGTGTGATTGTGCAGGGATGCCCTGAAATGCTCCAGCTCACTGTGTCCCTAGTATTTTCACTGATGTGGAAGGCATCTCTCTCCCACCGTCGGAGATGAGGCCTCCAATGTGTTTGTTCAGTTTGATGAGCATGGTAGCACTGCGATAGTGGGCAGTGTGATGTTTGTGGGATGTCCAGGCAGCCCAGATGACAGAGGTAACCGTCGCAAGGACGTAAATGCGTACTGTTGTCCATTCCAGGTCAACGCAAACTGCTTCAGACCCTCTTTTCTGATGGGAATTGGAAAGAGTGCAATGGCCCGCAGCGTGCATGTGCCTGAGGCTGCACCAGACTTTGCTAATGAAGACGTCACGTCTGGCACTGCAGCTGCAGCTGGGCCAACTGCTTTGTTGAATTTGCAGTGATCTACCGGCATCATCCAAGACCCCTCAGAGTTCTCGGGGTCAGACGGGATTAGGTGGGGGTATGCTGGGGCCACCGCTCCCGAGTCCTTTAGGTCTTTAAAGGTGACATTCTTTTGTGCCACGCCGCCTTATGGGAGAGTGTTTACTCCCTTGGCCCAGGTGGGGACAGATAGCTTGAGACAAGGCCAAGGTGTGGGCTGTATTTTAATTCTACATTCAAGGTGCAGGGCGGTAACTGCTGGGTGGGCCCGCAGCCTCACGGGGACCACAGCCGGGCCAGGGCTCCGTCTGTCACCCAGCCCTCACGGGCCTCCTCTGGCAGGGTCCTGCAGTCTCCGCCACCACTGCCAACTCGAGCTCTGTGTCCAACAGTCTCAAAAGGCCCGGGTGCCGTCCTTTCCCCGAGTACAGACGCTCAGACACGGAGTCGCGTGTTCAGCGGGGGAAGCCCTGGGCGGTTGGTACCATTCACACTCGTGGGGGTCCTCCGTCCCCGTCTGACAGCGGGCTCAGGGACGGAAACTGGGCTGAGAGTTGTGACTTCTACTGTGGCAGCTGCCTGTGGCATATCCCCGA